TACTTTCTGTCATTCAATACACACAGGAGGATGTTGTCAAAAGAGTTTTGAATCCCCACAAAGTATGGTCGAATGACCAGGGAGTTGTGGGTTTTCAAACATCAATGAAGCTAAACGACGGGTCGATAAGGTAGCTAAGGCTTCCACCAAGGTTCTGCGAGCAAAGAAACCGTCAGGAGGTGAGGGGACTCAAAAGAAGCAACCAAATATAAACTTTCTTACATCTGTTTCCGAAACGACAGTCGTCATCCAGAAGGTTTCGACTGGTGAGTTGACTCTAATTGAAAGATGATCTTTTTTACGCTAGGTGATGCTCAAACTGGCGTCGGTCCGGCTCCTTCAATAGATCTCGAGTGCATTTTAGATGATGATGCGATCGTTGTTGAGAAGGGGCCCTGGTCTGACGCTCCAGCTTTTATCAACTTCAGCGAGAGAGAATGAGCTAATCATATCCTTTTTGGACTTGAGGAGGGGAGAAAAGGCTCCTCTAGGAGCCAGGATTCGACAACAGTAGTGGGTTCCGAAGGTAGGTCGGAGACTGCAGCTTCAACCTCTTAGCTTGGTGGGAATGGTTCTCCTCTAGAGTGGTACCAAGGAGGAGTTCCCGTGTCTCAGAGAAATCCCAGTGGGAAAAAGGAAAAGAACCAATAGCTGATGAGGGTTTAGCCTCTGGCGGCTTTGCTTTTGGAGGAGCATTGAATGGCGGTTCTCACACTTTAGGAGAGTTCCGACGAAGAAAGGGAAAAGAACCTATCGTCAGTGAGGGATCGCCTTCTATCTCTCTTCCCGGGGGTGATGATGAATGGATGCCAATGCAGAAGCATAGTTCGAAAGCCTTCATCTCGAGGGACTCCTTTCGCCCTTTATCAAGTTGCGGCGAGATTGGTTCCAATGTGGCTCTAGGGGTGGAGTTTCAACTGTCGTAGCAGATGGAGACACTGCAGTCGAAAAGCTTCAAGAAGAGGTTGGATGATTTGAGTCCGCTGGAGCTGTGTTGAATTATCGATAGACATCAGCTACTAAGGGCATCGTATAGACTTGCATACATATTGAATTATTTTCTTTGGATTATTGTAATTTAAAAGTGACATTACTCCTGGGTTATCTTTAGATAACTCATTATGTTATTTTAATATTATTTTTAATTTTTAAATATTTAAAGAAGATGAATAGAAGATGAGCAAATGTATGTAGGAGGCAAGAACAACAATCAGAAAGGTGTCAATTTTTGCTTAATAATTTTTATTGTTTTTTTTTTATGATTCTTTCATGTATTATTTGAATAGTAAATTATTTGTGATAGAATTAGACTAGCAATGAATTGATTCCATCGTCAGACCGTTCGTTCCTATCTTAGTTAACTCCAAGCCTCGGGTTGCGTAGTGACACGAACTCTCCTTTTTCCTTCTCTGCGGCTTTGTTTCTTCTCTCTCGTTGTCTCTCTCGCTATCTCTCCTTGCTCATTCTCGCTAGATACGAACAAAGGATGCCCCCTCAACTTCCAAAAGCCGATATGTTCAACAGCTACTCCTTTGTCGATTCAAAATTTTTTCCTTATTTATTTTATATTGTTATTATTGTTATTAGTATTATTAGTATTATTATTATTAAAATTCAATCAATACATCTCTCTCATGAGTTCAACTGGAATCGATGGTGTCTCTTTCTTGTTAGCTGTCAGTTGATACTCTTCTTTGTCCTCACTTTTTTTAGTGTCTACTGTATAATTGCTCATTTCCTGAATAACCACATGCTAAGTGAAATAGGTTATTCCCGTAGGCGAGCAATCTGATTCAATATTCATAAATATGTGGCACTTAAAAACACTTCTTGGTTAGAATGGATTTAGGAATGCGGATTGGTTTTACTTATTCTCCACTCTGAACTAGTGTCTCTATAGGCAGGGTCAGCTTGCAAATTGCGTTGGGTGTACTCTTACTGCTTGATCTTGGGGATGAAATATGTTTAAAAGATGTGGTGTTCATCCGGTAATGTTGTTCTCTATCATTGAAGTTAGGATTTGCACATCCTGTCTGTAATGAACTGGTAGGTATTGACGTTGCATCTCTCATTTCCTCTGAGACAGTAGTAATCTTATCTTTTCCCTTGCACTAGCATAGGTATTCCAAATTTTATCACCAAAAAATGCACTCTTCTTTAATTTACCGGTGGCTAGTTTCAGCCTTTCTCTAAGAAAAGTTCCACGATCTAAAGTCACTCAATAAACTCATCCGGATCCAAGTGACTGTCAAAATATAGCAAAGCCATCGTTACTTAAAAATTTTGGCTTCTCAAATATTTCAAATCAAGTCTTTGGAGAAGAGATTCTTCATTTCTGGCATTTGTATGGCATTTTATCTAGCAAGTAGTTGTTGTAGCTACGGGTGACCATTTTGGATTGTCTCCTCTCGAAGGCGGCAAACATCTGTTGTGAGGATTTCCCACCGCACATCCTCCGTAGAAGGTTCCTAGATAACCCTTTGTGGATTTCTCTTAAATGGCATCGTGGCTCCCGTTCAGATCTTCGGCAATTATCTTTTCAGTAGCATGATTGGGGTTTGGGAGTTGATTGGTGGAAAGATGTGTGGGGGGCTGATATAGGAGAGGGAGGATACGGGTGTGCGTATTTCTAGCTCTGATACCGAAGTAAACGCAAACAATAATTAGAAAAAATAATTTTATTATAAGAAAAGACAATAATAGGTTACAACAAAGAAGCTGAAAGGGAAATACAACAGACATAAACAAAGTTCAAGTGCCACAACTCGACCTGATAGCTTGGAATTAACCAAGTGCGGAATAGTGATCGAAAGATATTAATATTTCAATTTCATTCCACATAATTTTTAGAAAACTCCCAATATATAAGAGAGCCATTAATAATCCAGAAAGTGCAATATACAAAAAATCAAAACATTCAAAAATCACATAATCTGAAGACAACATTTCTAACCAACACTAAACAATATAACCAAGCCATCAGGTCGGGTCGTGACATGGAGGGCGGCAGATACAACACGTAACGTTTCTGTAAGGTGTATGAGGTGCGGTAGGGCTTGTGGGCGGCTAGAACAACAACAAAACAGCAAAGGGGAGGTGTTGGAGGTTGCGGCAGCGAAGGTGGATGGTTAGAACAGCAAGGGCAAATGAAGCAAGAGGCTTGGACAGTGGTTGGGAAGGGGAAAACTGCAACAAAACAATAAGGAAAGCTAGTCTGAGGCGGTTGGAAGGTTGCAACTGCTGGAAATAGCAAGTCGGCGACTGATTCAAGAAAATAACAGGAATTGTGGAAGGGGTGACTATAAAAAGGAGAATTGCAAGAAAGTACAGCACATCGGTTGTTCTAGGTGGTTATAGCGAGGAAAGAGTAGTAGCAAAGCGAGGAGAGCAGAGAAGGGAAAGTTGAGGATAAATAACCCTCAGGAATGCGCTACAATTGGAGCACCACTCAGCCCTTGGAAGAATCTCACCACCTCAGACGAGCTATAACCAGAGCACCACTCGTCTTTGGATACAATTCTAGAAGGGTGAAATTGAGGCACCAACTACTCTAAACAGAAACACAACAAAATTGGCTATATAGATCTAGGGTAAATAAGAGTGGACCCTACTCCCAGTAGAAGAGAAGTCTCTATTTGGAAGGACTGACGGGTCCTTCCTGTTTTGGGACTGAACAGCCCAAGCATGGCATTTGCCGTGTCATTGTTTGGAGATGCGATCCCACATCGATTGAATGACGCTCTACATCAGGTGTCCTCGAATTTTATTAACTTTAAAGAATCTAGTCCCTTTGGAAGCCTAGTCTACCAAGATTTTTAACTTGATCATGAAGATATATCTTCTAGCGAGTATTTAACAAGGGTTCAAATAAAACTTCTTGGCCCGAACATATGGACCTCATCGCTAATTTCCTCTTGTGAAATCTCTTACATGAGAAGAACACCTTCATATCACTAATCATTTTCCCTTACAAAAATGAGATGTAACAAAATCATTAAATCACGAAGAATGAGATTTATGAAATAAAGCCTTTACTTGCAAATAAAGGTAATGCCATGTTCTCACATTTTCAAAGGAAACGCTTCAGATTTCATCCACAGAAAAATAATAAAATGATGAATGGAAGCGAGCTAAAAAACACTAACCACTTCCTTCAATCTCTTTTTAGAAGTACTCCCTTTTAATGCCTTATCATTCAGAAAAGCCATCCCATCTGGTTGCTGAAAAATCATTGAGTTTGATTTTTTGAAATGAAAAGAAAAGTTACAACTTTCATAGGTTAGCAACAGTTGCTTTGTCTAAATTAAGAACAACACTACTAAGTGTAATATAAAATAATTGATGCGCATGTTTCCATATACCATACTTTCATAACATAACGGCATAACAACTCACTGTCAATGTTTTATTGAACAACAAATGTTATAGCTATAGGTGTCTCAATTTATCCTAGGTTGATCTCCAGCATGCCTATTTTTTAGTCTCCGCCAATGCATAAAAATTAAACATCCTTAGAAAATCTTGGTATAAAATGATTAGTTAGGCAAGCTCAATCTAATGTTCGATCATCGAAAAAAATAATAAAAATACCTAGGGCTTATAACAATAACAACAAAGTGAATGTCACATCCAATCTAACAAATTGTTTTGACACTTAAGAAGATATTCAAACTGTTTGGTCAATTGATTTTATTTCATGTACAAACCAGATTCAAAAGTTCAAAGATAATCATTTTACAAGTAAGGAGATCGAACTTACAGAGAGCAAAAAAATCATAACTTCCAATAATACCGGATTTAACGCAAACCACAATAAGAAATGCAAATATTATGACTGAAAGTAAATAGGTGGTTACAATCAAACACAATTGAATGGGGAAATTACAACAAACTCATACTAGGGCTCGATCCATGGGTAGTGGAGGTCAAATAGGTGGTTAGGGAGCAAAGGTAGGTGGCTGATATAGGTTGTGATTGGTTGAGACAGCAAAAGAAGGAGCTGGAAGGGAGTCGACAACAAAGAGGAGGGGTACAGCAGTGAATCGGATGGAAACAACGGCCCTGGGTAGTAGCATCAAGGGAGGAAGATGTCGGCAGCGGAGGGGAGGAGTTGAGGCAAGGGCAGTAGGCTGTGATGAGAGAAACAGCTGGGCGGGAGGCTGGAACAGCAGAAAATAGCCAGGAATGGCTGTTTCCGGGCGGCGGCGGTGAGCAGGAAAGACGGCGACAGTGGCAAGGAAGGCATGGGACTGTGGAACAGCCAAACAAGGACTATCACGAAGCTGCGGCAGCGAGGAGGATGACTGAAAGGAAATAAACTGCAAGAACAGCAAAAGGACTACTGTCGCAGTGGCTGCATCAAGGAGGAAGGCGTGGTTGCGAAGAGAGAAAGATAAGGAAAGGGATAAGGAAGATAATCACCACTAAGAGACCAAGATACAGTTGAAGCACCACCTGAAACCCTAGGATACAACCCAGGAAGCTGTTACGATACGAAACATACAAAAAAACTAACTCTAAAATATCAAGAAGCAAATATATAGTAATAAGAAAACTAGGAGTAGTCCCATAAGATAAGGAAAGGGATAAGGAAGATAATCACCACCAAGAGACCAAGATACAGTTGAAGCACCACCTGGAACCCTATACAAAAAAACTAATTCTAAAATATCAAGAAGCAGATATATAGTAATAAGAAAACTAGGAGTAGTCCCATAGGAACAACTGACTCCACGACCACAAAATTACCTAGAACAGTTCAGTCCTGCCATGAATTGACACCTGCTTTAGTCATGGGTAATCCCAGCAGTAGATATTCCGCGCCATCCAAATAATTAATTCACATAAAGATGATAAGCATTCAGCAATACAAGATATTGATTAACTTCAAAACGCCATTGCAATTTTCAGTACTTCAAGCAAAGCTTAAAGATGGTATAAGAAGCTGGAAGCCCGCATGCAGCTAGGAGAACACTACTAATTAGTTCAATAGAAAGCCACCTTTAAAACCAAATGTAGTTGTTCGACGGGAGAAGAGCATACATAAAATAGGCCAAACTTCTTAAGATAAGAAGGACAATGATGATATAAATTATGATCACATTAATATCTAAAAAGCCATTTACTTCACAAAGGGGCCATCAAAAGATGCACATGGTCAGTGCATAGAGATTATGGCAGTATTTAAATACAAGTTTCCTTCTACTGTTCCCTCACAAAAATGAATAAATTATAAATTAGGTAGGAAAAACATGACACTTCTTAAACTTCGAAAATTAAAAGCAAATAGAACCCCAAGAAGTTCTAAACACGCTCCTAATTTTTTTGGTTAGCTTTATGCAATCCTATTCTCAAATCGTTTTGTGCCAACTCCGCACAAATCTTTTTGCACAATTTATGTGAATGTTATCTTCAGTCAGCCATTTTCCTTTGTAACCCATCAACATTATTTTCCTCCACCTAATTGTGTATTTTTACATTTTGTTAAACTTCTTGAAATCACACAAGTCTATTTTTTTAACTACTATATTATTAAAGTTTATTCGCCCACCCTTTCTCTAATATCATCAATTCTGAAGTTATTCTAATTTTGTCACACAAACATCATGACATTTGTATTTATGTTATGCTAAACGTTGTAGTCCATGAACTATTTACCACCCAAAAATTTGAACCACACAGCATAGCTGCTTACTTAGAATTTACAGAATTTACATTTAACTCTTGATATTTTTTTTGTAATTTTGTAAAACTCCATTTTAACCACCTAACGTTAACACAAAAGTTATGTCCTTCTTTATTTTATTATTGTTTTGTATAAAATTAAGATATTCAAATCTATCACAATATAAATACATTAAATACTAGAGCATAGACCACTAGAAGAAATCGGAATGTGACAAAAAAATGCTCATGAAAAGAGTTGTAACCTCAAAACAAAATGGGTTATCAGAGTAATAATACAAGGAAGCAAACCAGGAGGGATAAAAATCAATATTCCAGTCACAAATTGTTAGGTTGATAGCAATTCAAGTGTGCCACTAAAAAATTGTCTTTTGCAGTTTATTACCTGCAAAGGACAAGGCAGAAGAGTACCAAAAATATCTTCCTTTAAATGTGCCGCATGAATAGAGTATAATGCATCTTTAAAGCCACGAGAAGCAAGATAATCTTCACTGTCCTTATGCAGAGAATAGCCTTTGTACACACTGACTGCAGGATCGCATAACTATATAAAATTTAAAGAAGAAATATTCAAGAAAAAAGAACAAAATAGTTCCATAAACCACAAGATAGAAGATAATTTGCCTAGTATAAACTGAAAAGATTATAAAGATAATAACTGCATTCACTGCCTTTTTCAACGACTATAAGAAAGTTTGAACACCAAAACAAGATTTTATGACTGTCTAAATTATAATAAATCATTGCCAAACTAAGTAAAGTAATTATTGTATTGGTGTTGCGTTTTATTTTCAAGATGCTGAGTGTGTTTATAAAGGAATAATTTACAGATACCCTCTCAAATGAGAGGAAGTTTTAGTAGAAATCGTGTTTCTAAGGGTCACTAAATCTTATTTCTCATTTTCTTGAGGAACAAAAAACACAATTTAAACTTCAAGACATGCCAAAACAAGAACATGGTAAAGCATATCTAAATAAAAGATTTTCATTAATAAAAAATGCTAACGTAATCTAAATAACAGGCAGGAGAAACATAAACATGAAGGTCTGAAATGAAATACCGAAGAGCTAACTTGAGCTTGGCAATCACTAAAGCATTTGTAGATGCCAATGACATCCCCCTTTCTGACAACATAGAATGCCTCAGAATCTTCTTCCATTTTGGCCTTATGATTCTTTTTTGATATCCCTGAACTCTGCGATTCTTGAGTAGAGAAACAGTGAATTCCAAATCCAAGCAAAAAACAATCAAATTTAATAAACCCAATACAAGCATGCCGTATGTCTCTTTTCCAAGCTGTTCTAGGTAAACCATATAAAGAGCCCCTCATGAGTACATTGCTGTTATGTGAAAACAAAACTGCAGAAGACCTGTACAGAATGCAGGTCATCACGGATTTTCCACTAAGTTTGGACACTTCCAATAGTACATTCTGATCAGAAAAAAAATATATGTGCGATAAAAGTCAAACCCATAAAATCAAATGTTGAAGGTAAGTACTGCACTGAGTAAAGTATCATCGAAAGGCAGTAAAATGTTCTTGGCATATGAAATTCTCGAAAACCATTATATGTTTTCCATGCATTATAAATTTCTGCATGAAACATTTCCTTTTAAAATTGTTCATATAGAATAGTCAAGCAAAGTTAAGATCTTGACATATCTTTCTAAACATGGCATTGCAATTAAAGGAATAAATAAAGGATTTTTTGTGATGAAGTTTATTTTTGTTTTTTTTTTTTTTAATTTTTGTTCAAAAATATATTTATTTAATGTGTTTTCATAGTATTTTATTTTTATTTTTAAAAATAAATCAAATTATTTTTAAAAACACTCAATACATCTTTGAGGTATTTAAACACATTTTAAAAATAGCTATTACAACCAGCAGCCACACCACAGTTGCCATCCCTGCCTCGCAGCTAGACACCATAGTGTCAGTGACACCACAACCACTGCATAAGTCAACTTATTTGGCATTCACTAAAAAATATGATAACATACTTCTTAAGATACCAAATATATTTTATTTCAGTAAAATATAAATAAAATAAAATAAACAAATGTTGTCCCGAATAGCCCCTAAACCTTTAAAAGTCTCTCCTTCTTTCTACAAAACAACATACATCTCATAAGCGAGTCACGTACAACACAAGATTAATTTGTTTATTAACACCATTATGGTTTTATTAGAAGAAGTGAAAAAAGATAAACTTAATCAAAAGGGTATAGAAGACCAAATGTAGCACAGATACAAAACTCGTTAATTATTAAGAAATATCTTCCATGTCTCATAATACTTCATTCAAAATAGAGTAAAATTGATTTGGAGAAGATTTGCTTTGGTAGTATTGTAGTAGGCACATGAGTATTTAGAACCAACGTTTTGGAATAAAGAACTTGACATCACATATATAAATATAAGTGTTATGCTGTACTAGATGGACATGATCATCATTAGTACCATTTAAATTGAAGTACTAGCCAACAGTCTAGCCAACAAATATGATATTCTGAGCATCAACTCAGTTAAGAGGGGAATACGAAATCAAATAAGTTGGCTGCCTTTAGATTTATTGTGTCTAGTATGTACTATATATAAACCTGATTGATGGGACATTCATTAAGAGATCGTCTATACATAGTTATAATGCAGAAGCTTATTATTGTTTACTCTTATCATTAACTTGCATTGCCATCATTATTAGCATGTTGTTTGTGAATTCTATTGCAATTTGACTTTGCTGTGTAATAATAGCTAGTTTGCAAAAATTGTTAATTTCAAGAAAGCTTGTTGCATTAATTATTAATTGATCCAGTTATGTATATATAAATGCATACACACACAGATATATGTGTGTACATATAAATATATATAAACCCTATTATCCTACGGCTTATTCTTTCGTCATCCCGAGAAGCGCGGGCTCCTTCTGCAGCTTGCGGCTCGTTCTTCGTCATCCCGAGAAGCGTCGGCTTCTTCTGGCGGCTCGTTCTTCGTCATCCCAAGAAGCGTCGACTTCTTCTGCGGCTCCTGTCCTCACTCGCAAGGCGCGAGCTTTCCTCTAGCTCGAACGAATCGCCCACTGCTCGACTTTCCTTTCGGCATTTGCTCTTCCTCTACTGTCACTTTCCTGTCCCACAACCCCACTTCCCTCTTTTGGGATGGCTTCAAACAGATCGTATGTTGCTGCCCTTGTGGGTGTTCACGCCTCAGGTACACTTAAATCACCATATTTTCCTCCTTCATTTGAGTGGGCGGAGGACATCAAGAAGCCTGTTAGAAAAAATGGAAAGTCTACCATCTTTTTTACATAAGACGATGGTATTCAACTTGCTTCCTCCTGTCGTCTGAATTTGGTTAGGAAATTTCTATATGATTATCCTAAAATGGAGCTCATTCGCAAAGAATTTGAACTTATGCACTTTGTTGGAGATTGAAAAATTGGACTATTAGATGGGAGACGTTTTTATTCAAATTAACAATGAAGAAGATTACATGTGCTTATTTGTTAGAAGGATAATCTTGATTGATAACAGAGCAATGAAGATTCTGAAATGGTCTGTAGATTTTGACCCACAGACGGAACCGTCAATCATTCCGGTTTGGATTCGCCTGTGGTTTGAAATTTCATTATTTTTTCTCAAAAAGTATTGTATCTATTGCCTTAGCTTATGAAAACCTCGGCTTATGAAAAACCACTCAAAACGGACATTCCTACTTTCAATTTTTTTCCCGTCCATCTGAAGCCAGAGTACTTGTTGAAAGAAACATCACGTCACCCACTTTTGAGGAAATCTGGTTGGGCACACAGCACCATGGATATTAGTAGAAGGTAGAGATTGAGCATTTTTCGTCGTATTGTTCGAACTGTCGTATGTTCGGCCCCTCTAATTCTCAATGTCACCATCTACACACCCACCTCAGACCAAAAAAACAAAGTGCTCCGCTAGAGGCTGTGATTCCATCTCATCCCGATTACACCAAGTTTTTGACACTATTGATCATCAGACGGATACCCCGGAAGACGTCAATATCCCCGTAGGCAATATGACAACCATTCAGTCCCCAGTTGTAGCTCCCCAGTCTTTAGAACCTCAACCTCCTATCGTAGGGGAGAGGGAAATTCTTCAAACTCCGTCTGCTATAGAACATATCGCCGATAATACAGGTAGAAATACTTCTACTGTACTTCTACTGTAGAAATACTTCTACTGCTTTACCACCGCCTCATCAGGTCCAGAAAGATGTTAATGTTACACAGGCTCACGAGAATCATGATGTGCAACGACCTATACCTGTCTGACCACCTTTGGAATCTACTGATCAGATGAGTCAATCATTGGATGAAGAATGACAGGTCTACACATCCAAGAGGAATAAGAAGAATGGAGATCTACTCGAGCTCAGGAATTTGATGGATGATACTTTGGTTACTACGGGCAATGGTACTCGCCTTACAAATTTGTTAACCGACTCACTTCCGAGAACTCAAGGCAGGAGGACTAAAATGGAATGTCCCTAACGCTTTTGTGCCCTTTTGTGACTTTTTGGTTTTTGCTTTTATGTACGTATCTTTGCTTTATTTGGGTTTTGTGTGTGTTGCATTGTATGAGTTGGGTTTTCTTTTAGACCCTCTCATACAACTTTTTTGTATCTTTTCCGTATTAATATATTTGTCCTCACCACTCAAAACGAACATTCCTACTTTCAATTTTTTTCCGTCCATCTGAAGTCAGAGTACTTGTTGAAAGAAACATCACGTCACCCACTTTTGAGGAAATCTGGTTGGGCACACAGCACCATGGATATTGGTAGAAGGTAGAGATTGAGCATTTATCGTCATATTGTTCGAACTGTCGTACGTTCGGCCCCTCTAATTCTCAATGTCACCATCTACACTCCCACCTCAGACAAAAAAAACAAAGTGCTCCGCTAGAGGCTGTGATTCCATCTCATCCCGATTACACCAAGTTTTTGACACTATTGATCATCAGACGGATACCCCGGAAGACGTCAATATCCCCGTAGGCAATATGACAACCATTCAGTCCCCAGTTGTAGCTCCCCAGTCTTTAGAACCTCCTATCGTGGGGGAGAAGGAGATTCTTCAGGCTCCGTCTGCCATAGAACCTATCGCCGATAATACAGGTAGAAATACTTCTACTGCTTCACCACCGCCTCATCATGTTCAGAAAAATTTTAATGTTACTCATGCTCATGGGGAACATGATGTGCAACGACCTACACCTGTTCGACCACCTTTACAATCTACTATCAGATGAGTTAATCATCAGATGAGGAATGTCAGATCCACACATCCAGGAGGAAGAAGAAGAATGGAGATCTACTCGAGCTCAGGAATCTGATGGATGATACTTTGGTTACTACGGGCAATGATACTCACCTTACAAATTTGTTAACCGGCTCACTTCCGAGAACTTGAGGCAGGAGGACTAAAGTGAGACGTCCTTAGCACTTTTGTGACTTTTTGGTTTTTTGCCTTTATGTATCTTTGCTTTATTTGGGTTTTATGTGTGTTGTATTGTATGAGTTGAGATTTCTTTTAGGCCCTCTCATACAACCTTTCTGTATCTTTTCCGTATTAATATATTTGCTCTTGGGCTTTTTCAAAAATATATATTCTCATTGGATGATTTGTTATATATCAACTTTTTGCTAGCGTCATAGAAGGCATTTGTAGGAATTCAACAAAACAATTTTATTGATTTCAAAAGAGATATAAATACAAGAAATAAGAGTTATAAAATAGAAAAGACATAACACTCAAATCTCCAGGGTTAAATTAATTCCTAATAACTATCAAGATAAAAGAAAAGTTATAAACTAGAAAATACACAAACAAGGAAATACATAAACTAGGAAATATCCTTAAAAAACCAGCTCACTTCCGAGAACTCGAGGCAGGAGGACTAAAGGACGTCCCTAGTACTTTTGTGCCCTACTTTTGTGTCCTTTTGTATTTTTTGGGTTTTGCTTTTATGTATCTTTACTTTATTTGGGTTTTGTGTGTGTTGTATTGTATAAGTTAGGCTTTCTTTTAGACCCTCTCATACAACCTTTTTGTATTTTTTCCGTATTAATATATTTGTCCTTGGGCTTTTTCAAATATATATATATATATATATA